CTGAATGGAAGTTGAGGAGGGGGCGTAACCCTCAGTCGGGATTGATTAACGCCAAAAACTTTATCCTTTTATCCTTTTTAATCATCAGTTGCAATTTCCTCCATTTATAAGTTTCCACTTCGTTTCTTCCAATACTTTCTAAACAATATCGTTATTCATTCATCAAACATTATTTAGGATTTGCACCATCATGGCAGGTGCTACATATGTTGCGCTTTATACTCGGACTATCCATTGGTGGCGCTATTACAACGAAAGCTGCTTATATTACAGAACTTCTACTTCCAAAACAGCGTATGCTGATTCGTGGAGTATTCAACTGGGTAAACTTCGGTGGTTCTTTCAGTTTTTCCCATGCTGTTTTCACGAAAAGCTAAACGTCCAACAAGAACTGGAAACTTCTCATGATTCGCGTCTTGATAGCGAAGCCAAGCTCCGGTTGGGAGCAAGTTCAGAAATTCCTGAAAAAAAAAAGCTTCAGTACGATCTAGTACGACGACAGTAAAGTAACTCGGAGGGTGCGCTTCGGGGGAAGGTAGGGAAGATGACAATTGAAACGAGCCATGTTGTCGACGGTGAATATTCACAAGGAAATAAAAGTGCGAAGACAAAACAAACATAGTCAAGGAGAACCAAGCCAGGGAAGGCCTTAGCTGAGGGAGCCATTTTTAAATGACTAATTTCGCATTGTGGTAATGTACTGCTTAATGATTGATCCACACAGAACAGCCGAGTGTCATGCCTCAGTTTCCTTGGCTGAGAATGCCTCAAGCCTATCCAATGAAACTTACGCTCACCTTGACGGTTAATCCGCTTTACGATGAATATTTACTGATTAGATTATTAATATCATTATTAATTTATTTTCTTTTTTATTTATTTGTCAGGGTGTCGCCCGTATTGCGCTCACCTTAGTATGTATGACGTTCCCCAATTGGAGGACCGCTAGTATCGCTTGCGCCATCGGAATGCTACCAGCACTCTTCAGCATCGCATTCATCTTCCCAGAAAGTCCTACATGGCTCCATAGCAAGGTCAGTAAAGTATAAAATTTGTTGCAGTACATCCCAAGATGGTTGTTCCTTTTTTGGCTGTGGGCCATGAAAATTAGATTTACTGCTTCTCCATACATCCTCCAGAAATTCTTCGAAATCTTTTAAGGGCCGGTTGGACGAAATGAAAGCAGCTGAAAGATATATTGCAAGTTTTGCTGGTGAGAAATACGAACCTGTGCCTCATAAACCTATTGAGCACGTAAAGGTGAGAATCCTATTCGGGCCAATGACAACCGTCGATTTCGCTTTGCTGTATATCTCCTGTTTTATAGACCCTCTGGGAGATGTGGCAAACTCGAGGCCTTTTTCGCCGTCTCATCGTTTTATGGCTGATGTGGTTTGTCGCTGCTTTCTGTTCATACGGTAGTGATCTTAATTCGAATAACATCTATGGCAATCTGTTCGTCAATCAGATCCTCTTCGGTGTACTCATAATGATCTCAAAACTGGTGAGTTATTTGTTAGCACTCAAAGCCAGCAGTACAAAATATAAAAAATTAAGTATAGTGACAGAAACCACTCGCCCTATGCTGTACGTAAGGTAGGACTGGAATTCCCCTCTTAGCGGACGTTTTTCCTAACAACTTAAGGAAATTGAACTGTAGGAATCTTGAAATCCCAAGGTACCGAAGATAACCATGTGACTTAACAAATAACCCATGCTTGTCAGCTCAGAGCGGGGAGGGGGACCTAACCAGGAGCGGTATGGTGCAGAACTATCGTTTTGGGCATGCTTACAAATTCCGACCGACTGATTGATTGATTCGTTGATTGATTTATTGATGATTGAGATTGACTAGATCGATTGCGTTGATACTCGCATCAAAATTCGAGTCTGAACTCCATGGAATACTTTCAACAAGGTGGACTTTTGGGCATCGTTCTATCTCACCCCTAGATAAACAAATAAATGAACAAGTTCTACTAGATGCCTCATCTAGCAAATCATCCTGTCCACTTCAACACTCGGTTTATCACCAAAATTCTTCTCGCTCCCAGATTCTTCTCGGAGTGGACACGTGGTTCCCTTCGTTTAGTCGCCGCCAACTTCATCAGGGCGCTCAGCTAGTGGTATGCTTCTGTTTCCTCACTCTAAGCATACTTACAATGCGGCAGTATACGGTACGCTGTTAAACTTCTGTTTCGAGTGACTTTTTAAGACTAATTGTATAATCAACGTGAGCCTTTTTTTCAGGGTTGGGGTGTGCTCGTTGTGAATCTAATGGGTACAGTATTTAACGAATATACATGGGATGCATGCTTTCTATGCACTGTCGAATCCTTGGAAACGTCGTGTCGAGCGAGTGGTACGGGAAGCTGCTCACTTATGGCGAGAATCGGAGCTATTTTAGCGCCTGTTGTGGGTGCAGTTACATTCTTCAAAGCGGTTGTTAAGGAGGTGCCCATCAGGCTTGTGTGTCGATAGAATCGTGCACAAAATATCGTGCTGCCCGTGCCCTTCGACCACACAGTAAGCTGATCTATTGCCGTGCACCTTGCTACTAACATCAACCGTGCAACGTCCAAGAGAGCGCGATATTTTTTTTACCACAAATGGCCATCGAGAGGATCAGTAAAGAGTATGTCCCATTCGATAAGAGCGTTTTTATTCTAATTTTTCAGCTCACCCATATGAACAACTTCTGGCCGCCTTCCGTGTATTTCAGTATTTTCGTGATGGGATCACTTAATTTTATCATCTCGAACCGTTTTTTGGTAAGAATACATTTGGCTTCTCAAGATTTTGCTTTGTTCCGAGGCATATTCCTGGTCCATTTTTTATTACAAAGAGAAAAACTTTTTTTATCAGATAGAGACTAAAGGTGTCGATCTCGATAATGTCGCCATCGATAATGATTCTGTCCCAAAAGAACACGAAGTGCTGTTAGGCGACAATCTTGTGAGTTTTTTTAGGAGTTGACTATTAGCGATTAGGATACGTAGCGAGAAGGCGTTTAAAAGTAGCATAATAGTGGTCCCTATTTCGTGTCTCTAGGGCGACGTCGAATTATTTTGTTGCTAGGGAAGTGTTTGGTTAGATTTAGATTTAGATTTATTGCATGCGCATAAGCACATGGAGGTAGCAAGTACCAAANGTCATGCCTCAGTTTCCTTGGCTGAGAATGCCTCAAGCTTTTATCTAATGAAACTTACGCTCACCTTGACGGTTAATCCGCTTT